TTCCTTGAATGCCTGTAGCTTAAAAAAAAACAAAACAAAACCTCTCCCAGTCTTTGAGTTGACTCTTAGCTGGGGCACTGCTTTATCACTTAGCCAGGCCATTTACAGTCTGCCTCAGTTTTCAACTTCTGCTTATATTGAGCCTATAGATCAGTGGGGAAAGCTTAGGGTTTTCATAGGTCTTTTCTGAGTGTGCATCCTGTCTTGGGTATGTGTGTGACTTTCTAAATTCCCCCCATGGTAGCTGCTTTTGAATGCCCTAATTTCCCAAAGAAACTCCTGCTTTTCCTTCCAGGATTTAGGTAGTCTCTTGTTTGTAATCTTTTGCCCCAGGTGGCTGCAGGTTTTTCAGTCACCTTACAATGCTTTTGAGCAAGCCCATCACTTTTATGCCCTGAGTGATTTTCAGGTTAGGCAGAACAGAGATGCGTGTCTTGCATCAGTCTTTCAGGTAGACCCCAGATAGGTTAGAACAAATAAACATAATAATTTACAAACAAGTTCTCCTCTGCTTCCTTTGGAAATAGTGAGCAGAGACCCATGCTGCAAATCGGGGCTTCTGTCTTTAAGACTGCTGCTGAGCCAGGGAGGTGTTGAAGTAAGGGCAAGTTAAAATGCCACAAAGTTTTCCTACTGTTTTTCAGTTGCCTTTTTCTTGATTTGGCATTCATTTAGTTGCTATATAAACTTTTGACTGTTTTCCAGAGTACTGATGAAGTTGCTTCTGACAGTTGCTGTTTTTGTTTGTTTGTTTTTTAATTTATTACTATTTGTTAATTAAAAAATTTTATTAGGAAATACACGTAACAAAGCATTTCAACCATTTTTATGTGTACAGTTCAGTGACATTAACTACCTTTACTATGTTGTGCAACAGTCACTACTATCCATTTCCAAATTTTTCATCATCTTTTTTTTTTATTTGATATTTCTGTGGAGGGGTGGGTGTTTGGGGCTGCCTACTTTGCTATTTTTCTGACAGCATTCCAGTATATGTTTAATATTTATATTTTGTATCTTTTTTCCATTGGCTGTGATCTCCAATACAATGTTGAATGGAAGTGATGATAATGGACATTTTATTCATTACTGACTTTAAATGAATTTGTTGTTTATTTGTGGAAGCTACCCTCAATTAAGCTAAGGACATCTTTTTGTGTTCTTAACTTGCTAAGGAGTGGATTTGGGATTTTTATTAAATCGTTTTTATTGCACAAATAATGAATATACAGTAGCTCCTCAGTATTCATGAATTCCATTTTGGCAAGTGTTTGTTTGTTAAAAAAATATCTTGCAGTGCTTTTGTGGTCATTTGTGGACGTGTATATGTGCAAAGTAGCAAAAAATTCCCATCTGCAGTTTAACAAGGCTGGTTTGGTATTTGCTAATTCTTTATAGAAAATAACAACCATGAATGTTGAGAATTGACTGTACTTTTATTATAAGAGATTGAAAAAGTTCAGAAATTATAAAGCATGGAAGTCCTTTCTCCTCTTATTCCTCTCCCCAGATACATACAACTATTAAATTTGGTTTGTATCCTTTTAGTTCTATTGCTGTAGCTTCATATACATTTAATGTGTACATGTGGGTACACATAATTTTATTTATTTTTACAAAACTAGGTGTTAGATTTTATCTGATATTTTGTTCCATTCAGCAGATATTAAGTACCTACCGTGTATTAGGGCCCCTTCAGACATTAACATTCTTTTGTTCTTTCAATAAATGTTTCTTAAATCTTTGGAACATACCATGTGCTATGTTAGGTGTTGGGGATATAGCTATGAAGAAAAAAGACCGAGCTAACATTCTAAAGGTACAGACAGAAAACAAACGTAAAGTTGAGTAATGATAAATGCTATAAAGAAGTTTTAAGCAGGGTAAAAAAGGATAGAGATTGACTGAGGTGCTATTTTAGATAGTGTGGTCAGAGAAGGCATTTCTGAAAGGAGGAAATTTCAGCAAAAACTTGAAAGAGGTTGAGCAGCCGTACAAATACTATATCTGGGGCAAAATCTTTTAGGGCTGAGGAAACAGCAAGTGCAAAGTCCCTGACATAGAAGCCTGTTTGGAGTGTTCAAGAAACAACAGAGTCATTTGGTCAGATTAGAGAAAACAAGGGAAAGAAGGTTGGAAAGGTAGTAGGGGACCAGATTATTTAGAGCTTTGGAGGCCATGATAAGGATTTTGGATTTTATTCCAAGTATTATAGGAAACCATTGATGGTTTTTGAAAAGGACAGTCACCTGATCTGCTTTATTCAGACTGCTGAGTAGACACTGTGTGTGTGTGTGTGTGTGTGTGTGTGCGTGTGTGTGTGCGTGTGTGTGTGTTAAGGGGGTGGCTATGCTAGGATATTGAGGTTAGGGTGGAAACAAGGAGACCAGTTAGGAGACTAGAGATGGATGGCAGCATGGACTAGAGAAGTGGTTGTAGAGATGATAAGTTATCAGATTTGTGATTATTTTGAAAGTAGAATGCCTTTAGACTTTTTTTTCCTGTTCTCTTTTTTATTTTGAAAATTTCAAGCTAATAAAAAAAATGCACTTTACAAAAGCTGAGTAGAGTTTCACTCCTTCCACTCTTTCTTTTTTAACCTGTCTTGATGTCTGGGACAGTCTCAAACTGCGCTTCTGCTTCTGTCTGTCTCTAAGATTCATACTAGGATTCAATTTTGGGCAGATTGTTCACATTCTTAGAAAAAGTTCTTGTGCTGCTGCTGTTTGGCTAATTATTTGGCAGGGAGGGGTGTGGCCTGATTGGCCAAATTATGACTGAAATTCTTTAATTACTATTTAAGACTGTAATATTTGTTATATGCCCAACATGCAACTTCTGTGTAAGTGGTGAATAATAAACTCAAGATGAATAACTCATCACTCAATTTAAGAACTAGATTCTGTGCCCTTGCCTATCTTATCCATCTGTATCTCCCCCAACAACTATTCTGAGTGTTTTGTTTACCACTCCTTTGCCTAAAAAAAGTTTTATCACATATATATGTATACCTAAACAAGATGCTCTTTACTTTTACTTGTTTTTGCCTTTATATGAATAATATTCATATGCTGAGTAGTCTTCTGTGACTTGGTTTTTTCATTCATTGTGATGTTTTAAAGATTTACCAGTGTTGTAGCTTGTTGCTGAAGTGTGTATTCCCCAGTTTTACAATATTCTATTGTGTGAAAATAATTCCTTTTTGTGAATATATAGTGTTTCCATTCTGCTCTAAGTGGATATTTGGGTTGTTTCCAGTTTAATTAATAATTGAGCTTATCATCTTGAGGCTCTCCCTGCTCTTTTCATTCATTGATCTGGAGATCTAGGCTTTCTTGGGAAGAACCAGTATCTTACCATATATATTTAGGTTGTGTTTTTCTCTATTTTCTCCATTAATCTGATTAAATTTACATATTGTCTTCTAATAATTTCTTAAAATTTCTTGTCTGGTAGCAGCATTCTTTTTTATTTTTTGTAATGATTTTATTCTCAAAAAATCCCAAAGCAAAAAAAACCACAAAAAAATGTTTTTCTGTCATTTAAATGGGATTTTTGATATAGAAAGGAGTTAAATCTATTTGTATAGTTCTCTATCTTGAGCCAGAGGCACCCTTCCTTGTCTTTCTTCGTGTGTTATTCTTCCTCTCAGTTTCTACTTGGTTAACTTTTTTCATCTTAAAGGCTCAGCTTAAATATACTTTGTCTCAGAGGCCTTCCCTGACTGCTGCTTTCTAACATTCTGTGCTTATCTCTGGAATACTGTATTGTACTGGTTTGATTGTCTCATTACTAAACAGTGTATGCCTGACAGTGAGGAAGGTAGTTTTAATTATTTTTATTCTTATTGTAGCATGGTATCTGACACGTAATTGGTGCTGAATGCCTAATGAATAAACACATGAAAGAATGAGTAAAATGAAGCAATCTATAGTAGGTATCCAGTCATTGAACTGGTATGGTAGTTTTACTAAATAGGATAGTCATCTTCCTGCAGGGCTACCAGTCTGTGGGATTTAGTTTTCTCAGAGGTACAGCTCTGTCTTTAATCCATAAAAGCAGCTTCGGAGACTGGTATAAAGTCAAATACATTGTAGAAAAAGGAATCAACAGGGTTTTAATTTATGAGGTTTTGCTTTAATACTTAAACTGACATGACTGTGCTGTATTTTGAGGGATACCTTTCTCTTAGGTTAAATCTTCTGGTATGGTTGAATGTTTAAGTACTTACAAACTAAAAAATAGTAGGGGAGACCAAGTAGTGGGATTGGTGTGTATGCTATTTTTATTTGTTTTTAACTTCTAAAATTTGTTTTTTCAATATGTAAATGTATATACATAGTTCAAAATTTAAAAAATACAAAAAGGGTATACAGTGAAAAGTGTCCCTCCCATCTTTTCCCTCCAGCTTCTCAGTAACTGAGTAGCTTCTGAGGTTCCTCTCCCCAGAAGCAGCCAATTTTATTATTTTAAAAATAGCACTGGTTTTGTATGTGTTTTAGTTTCCTAGTGCTGCTATAACAGAAATACCACAATTGGATGACTTTAAAGAACAGAAATTTATTTCCTCACAGTTCTAGAAGCTAAAAGTCCAAATCATGGTGTTGGTTCTTGGCCATGTAGATTCCTTCCTTGTAGGTAGTTCTGGGCATTTCTTGGTTCCTTGGCTTGCAGATGATCCTCATAGAGTCTGTATCCATTCCCCCTGCCCCATGTGTGCGTATCTCTGTACGCTAATCTGCTCTTTCTAAAGCTCAGAAATGATTAAATTTAGAACCCATCCTACTAGGGCATGATCTAATTAACATAACAAAGAAAACCCTATTTCCTAATAGGATTACTAGGGGTTAGGATTCCAGCACATGTTTTGGGGGACACAATTTAGTCCATAATAGTATGTGTATATACTCGGATTTTTAATTTATTCTGCTAAGCTGATCACTTGTCTTGGTGTAGTGTAATGAGTAACTGACTCAAAATGTTTTGCGATCTTTTTTCAGATACATCAAATTACAGAATGGCTTGCAGGCACTTTTGATTTCAGACCTAAGTAATATGGAAGGTAAAACAGGAGATGCAACAGATGATGAAGAGGAAGAAGAAGAAGGAGAAGAGGAAGATGATGATGATGAAGATGAAGATTCTGGAGCTGAAATAGAAGATGATGACGAAGAGGGTTTTGATGATGAAGATGAGTTTGATGATGACGACGAACACGATGATGATGATCTTGATACTGAGGATAATGAGTTGGAAGAATTAGAAGAGAGAGTAGAAGCTAGAAAGAAAACCACTGAAAAACAGGTGCGAGTCATATCTGTTAAATCTTTTTCTAGTTTGGGAATTCTTTGGGATAAGTTCTAAACTCATGCTTTATATCTTAATGGCAAAAAGGAAGTATATATATCTTTTGATCTTCAGTAAAGCTATCTTTATTCTCTATAAAGATTACATTTAAAAAACATTTTGCTCTGATTATAAAAGTAATAAATGCTTATTATGGAAACTAATGGAAAATAAAGAAAAGCAAAAATATAAGTATCACCCATAACCCTATCAGAGATAATCACAGGTAATACTTGAATTTATGTGTATTGCATGTTTTAAAAACAAAAGCCTAGGTAGGGTTTAGGTTTCTAAAGAAAGAGATGAGGATCTGCAGGATTGTTGGCCTGGGATAGAATGTTACCCCTGGAGAGACTGGAAAAAGAAGAAAAGAACAATGTTACTGTAGAGTCCTTCTCTGGCCTAAAATTCTAGAAGTCCTCTTGTGGGTAATTTTTATGTCGGTAAATAATTGTAATTTACCTCTCTTTATGGGAAAGCAACAAAGGTCTGGACAAAATAATAGCAAATTGGAAGGGTTGAAATAGAAGTGGGGAGTTGAGCTGAGTCAGTCTAATATATAATAACAATGAATAGATAGGGCTTGATACGGAGAATTTTTCTCTCTAGAAATCTTTTGAAGAATGCCTCCATTTTGCAGTACAGCGCACCTATATTAGAAGATAATATTTTGGAGGCAGTACAGTGAAATTGACCAGAAAGTGTTTATTAAATCTAGTTTTTCAGTATTAATATCATATTCAACTTGATACAGTCCACATGCATAGGACTCACAGTCCAGATTTTTAAGATGTCGAATGTATTATACTTTGAAAATATAAGGTACAAGTAGTGGATATGCTTTAAATAAATTTTTGAATTTATTATTTATGGAAGATCGTATGACTTTTTTCACTAAGTTGTTGGAGGAGTTGAATCATGTTTTTAAGAAGCCGTTTGCCCCTTGCTACTCACATTATGAGTGATGCCTCTGTTTTTGGATGGCATGATAGGCCAAATAATTTTAGGTTGGAAAGCTAAAAGTCAGAGAGTAGGAAGAACAGTGGCAGTCAGGAGACCTGAATTTTAATTCTGCTCTGTGCCTGTCTTTCTGGATGACCTTAGGCCTTTTCATTTTTTCATTTCTAAAATGAGATTAGATTGTATAATTTTTCAGGTCCATTTTAGCTCTAAGACTAATTGTGTTATAACTTCTTAACTGAATATTTCCTGTAACTTCTTAACTGAATATTTCCTATCTGTAAATTTCTTTCTGTATTTATCTTTCACTCTAAGTAATTTATGTCTGTAAGTGGCTTTTCCTGTGCTTTGGAATTTGTTATATCTCCTATTAACTGAGAAGTAAGGTACAAGGATTAAATATTGCATTGGTAGTACAAAAATTAAAAAATTATTTCGACAGCTATTTTATTGTCAAGACATAATAAAATACCTTAGATTTATAGAGCAATCTGTAAACCTGTTTGATGAATTGAAGATGTACGTTGAGCTTTTTTTGTATGCCCTTTTTATTTAGTTAAGTGGGTTAAACCCTAGAAGTTTACCTGTCTAGAAGCAGCAAGGTCAGATTCTAGTCATCATTAAAAAAAAATAAAAATAAAAGGCTTAGATGCTACCCTTCTTTTCTGAGAACTCAGTATTATACCTTTCTTTGTAAAATATTGATAGCCAGTTTTCTGGATCATATCAGAAAGGAATGGAGGGACCTAAAGTAGGTCTAAAAGGTGATCAGATTGTTGTGATTCTGAAGCAGTGGGTACACTGGTGAAAGGAAAGATTGCATGATTGTAACAATGGAACATAATATATATTCATTGAATAAATGAGTGTCTGGAAGATGGAAGTAAAGTAGAGTAAGCCTAGATAAGAGGTGGCTTAACAGTGGTATCAGAATCCCTGGTGGTGTTGATGTGCTCGTTGCAAACCGAAAGGTTGGAGGTTTGAGTCCACCCAGAGTTACCTTGGACGAAAGGCCTGGCGAGCTGTTCTGAAAAATCAGCCATTGAAAACCCTATGGAGCACAGTTCTACTCTGACACACATGGGATTGCCATGAATTGGAATTGACGGAATGGCAACTTCTAAAAAAAGTTTTTTTTGATAAGAAGGTTTTTGCGATTGGAAATGTTGTGATTTAATTTGAAAAATGTGGACCTTGTTTAAGGTAAATATGAGAATTAACAAAGGAATTAGGAAGAAACCAATTTTAATAGGTTTTTGGGGAGCATTTACCTAAAGAAGTTAACTACTTTTCTGAGCCGTCTTTTTCATCCGCCTCCTTAAATGGAGTTGTTCTTGATCTCAGAAACTTGCTAAAGTCTGGGTGGCAAAATTGAAATTTAAGTATGATATATATTGAGTTATGACTTGTTCAGGGCTTTCTTATTTCAATTCTCAAGTATGAATTTCTCAAGTGTGAATTTCTTGGGTAGAAGATTCTCAAGTATGAATTTCTTTTCTAGCAATTGCAGAGCCTGTTTTTGCTGTGGTCAAAGCTGACTGATATACTGTGGTTTAAGTCAACTTTTACAAAAATGTCTTCAACCCAGCTGTTCGAGACAAGAAAACTTAATGGGGTAGTTGGAGCTGAAAGCAGGTTAGGCAACTATTAAAAACATCACAGGTTAGACTGTAGTTTGAAGAAGTGGATATTTCTCCATAGTTTAAATCAGTTTATGGACCCAAGTCTTCAAGACAGGATTTATTAAGTGAGGCTGTTTGGTTCTTCTAAAAATATATTTTTCATTTCTGACACTTTATCAAGTACATGCTCTTTTATAAAAGTTCTGTTCCTGAGAGGGTAACCATTTTCCGAAACAATCTGTTTCACCAAATATGTTAGCCCTTTAAAATTGACGTTTATAAAATTGGAAAAGTTTACAGTTCAGCTGCCTGTGCTCAAAGATTTGAATTGACTGTTTTTTTCTCCTTTTTTTATGCCTTTTAGTTTACAATGACATGATGGTATGCCCTAATAATTTTAAGTGCAAAATTTGGTGCACCTCTTGCCCATCTATTTTGTTGGACTTAAAACTCTGATTTTCCCAAGGTATTGGGAGACTATCTATTGATAAGTATTATATGCTGTATAGTGTATCTTCAATAAGAAGTGAAGAACTAAAAAGCCTCTTTAAAATCTAGTTTTGTAGTTTTTAACAGCTAAAGATTTTCTCTTCTAACCATTTACTTATCATCGTTAGATGTTTTCCTGAAATGTTATTTTACTCTTTATTTTAATACAAATAAACAGAATTTTCAGAATAACATGTTGAGAAGTTTCACTTCTAGTAACTGAGTTACTGAACACAGAAACTTTAATTGCTTAGAGATCTTCAGAGATGATCTACCTAGATCTGTTACTTCTCCATATTTCCTAAATCTGCTAATCCAGGGAACAAACATGGTTCAGAATTCTGAAATGCTGATATGAAGTGATATTTGGGTGGGCTGCCCAAGTCCGCCTTCCCCTTTTTTCTGTCTCTTTCTGCTTTTTCCCTTAGGTCTGCACCTGTTCAGCATATGGCAGGATGGCAAGAGGAGGAGCAGCAGGGTGAAACTGACACAGTTCTGGTGAGTTTCACTTTGCTGCTCCTCCTGATTCTCAGGGAAAGAATTTTGTTAGTTTCTTTTGGGAATCATCCATCTCCAAAGAAATCCCTAAGATGAGATGCTAATATTATTCCTTTAGAATTGACTCGCTATTTGTATGTGTTCTACTTACTCCAGTCTGCAGCGGCTCTTTGTGTTGGAGTTGGGAGTTTTGCTGATCCAGATGACCTGCCCGGGCTGGCACACTTTTTGGAGCACAGTAAGATCTTTGTAAAATACCATTCCAGAGTGTGTATTTTTCCCCAAAATTTGGATAAATTGATTTCAAGGATAGGTAATTGGGTGGTAGAAATACGGTATGTTTAACAAGAGAAAAGGCTAAGAAAAAATCTTTGACTTACGAATATCACAGTGGAAAACTTTTAATCTCCTCGATTGTACTTGTATTAAGTGAGGATTAGAATGAAACGACTTAGAAAATGAAACAAAACAGAAAACCCTCAGTTTAATTATAAATGTACCTAAATGAAACCTCTGTGACTGTAATACATTTAAAAATATTTAAATCCATATTTGTTTTTGGAAATTAACTCATTTTTTATATTCTGGTTTTCTAAGGTGTTTGAGGGTAAGCTTTTCACCTTATAAGTGTTTATGTTAGTGATTTAATTTGCATATATGCTTATACTTAAATTTTAACCTTTTTACAAATAAGTTATATGTATATATTTGTCTTTTCATATCTTTCTTTATTGGCTTTTTGAGTGTAAAAGTAATATATGAGCATTATAGAAAATTCCTAAAACAGAAGCTTAATGAACAAAGTATTTTCCATGAGCTTTCAAGGAAACATAACCTGTTAATGTGTTGGTATATTTTCTTTCAGTTTTTCAATACATTTAAGAAAATTAACCCTTAATAATAAAATATCGTATATATCTTTGTATTCTATGATTTTGTGTTCTTTCCACTTAGTGGTATTCATGGGTAGTTTGAAATATCCAGATGAGAATGGATTTGATGCCTTCCTGAAGAAACATGGGGGTAGTGACAATGCCTCAACTGATTGTGAACGTACAGTCTTTCAGTTTGATGTCCAGAGAAAATACTTCAAGGAAGCCCTGGATAGGTAACTAATTCAAAATGTATTTTTATTTTAATTATCTAATACTAGTTACATATGGAAATATTGGACATGTAGCATTTCTTTTTAAGGAGTACTCTAATTTTGTAAAATTGTCACAGTACTTTTATTAGGAGGAGAGCGCAAACTATTAAATGTACTTTGGCTCTTGTTTTAACATAATTAATCTTTATGTAAAAGATTAAACTAAAACTCTTAAACAGCTTTTGAGTTTTGTGAATACTAATGTATTCTCTATTGACTCATTTTTGGAGTTAATTTTTTTTCTAATTTTGTAGAAAATATGGAATACAGAGAAGCAAAAAGAGGGATGAGGTTGCTCCTAATTTTACAATCTAGAGATAATTGTGGTTAATGTTTTGGTATATAGCCATCTATATTTTTTGATGTAAATGTGATCATATTTTTCATACCCTTTGGAGCTGGTATTTTTAAACAAGATATGATTTTCTCATATCATTATATAGCTTTCTAAAATATGATTTTCGAATTATTGTATTTCATGTATATTATATAGAAGTACCACAGTCTGTTCAACCAGCTACATTACTATTGGACAGTGAGGTTGTTTCCAGTTTTTTAGTATTGTAATGCTGTGACGAATATCTTAATATTTGTTTACATCTTTATTTTAGTTAAAATCTAAGAAGTGAAATTGCTAGGTATACTTGCATGTAAGTTTTTAAGGCTATTTTTAAAGCTTTTGATATTCACTGTAAAATTATTTTCCAAAAAGTTTGTGTCAATGCATTACTAGAGTTTTGATATCACAAAGTTGCAGACCATAGTCTACACTGGAAAGAAGGAGTGACTTTACACCAAATTCTACACAATGTAGGATTGAAATGTAAAAAATGAAATCTTGAGTTTGCCTGCTATAATGTAAGCTCCTTGAGCGCAGGGATTTTGTCTCTTTTTTGCTGATGTATCTCCAGCATTGAGAATTTGGTAGACACTCAGATATTTTTGAATGAATTAATGCAGCTTCTTTATAGCAAAAATTAACATAAAACCAAAGGACAAATGACCAAAACATTTTTCCAAGATGACAAAGGTCCAATTTCTTAAAGAAATCATGTCCCTTAAGAGATTAATTTGACTCTGAGAAATCTTTTGGGAGAATTCCTGTAAGTTCAAAGGATATTCCATTACTTTTAATGGAATAAATTTTTATGTGTTTCTGAACCTCCGGATTACCACATTTTAGGCTAAAACAATATCAAATCCCATTAAAATTGACACACTTATGCCGATAACATCATTTATAGTAGGATACAAAATGGCAGTTTTTCTTCATTAATTATTCTATAATATGATTGATTACCTGTGTTCAGTCAGCTGTTTTACAGCATTATGGATTGTATACTTAAAGATATGCTCAGAAAGCATATGTTTGATATTCGGTGTTTATATAATTAAATCTTTAATTCCAAAATAACAAACAAATGTAGAAACAAAGGAAACCAATGAAAGCAATGCAAATGATGCTTGAGATTATCTTTCCTATAAATTTAGAAAATTAGGGATACTGTGAAAGAGAGAAGTTAAGTACACAACTCTATAAAGATCACTACATGTTTGCTCTTGTTTCAAGGTTCTTAGCTCCTGTTGTTGTTAGGTCCCTCCCAGTCAATTTTTGACTAATAGCAACCGTATGTGACATAGTAGAACTGCCACAGAAGGTTTTCTTGGCTGTACTCTTACTTCTCTCACAGAGCTGCTAGGTAGATTTGAACTGCTGACCTTTCCGTTAGCAGCCAAGTGCTTAACCATTGTACCACTGGTCTTTGTATGTGTGAAGAAATCTTAAGCAGTAGACAAGTCGAATTCTTAAAACCTTAAGGGATATATTCAGGGCTATGTCCAAATATAAAGAAGGCAAAAAACAAAAACAAGAGTTTTTTGGGTTAAAAAAAAGAATAGACAAAGGGTATGAATATGCAGCTCATTGAAAAAATGCTACAAATTGCTTGTAAACATAAGATGCTCACCTTAAAATGAGGAAATATAGAGTACAGTGCATTACTGTTTTTTGCCTATTAGGTAAACCAAACAGTTTCTTATTTAGTGTTAGTAGAGATGTGAAGAAACAGGCTTTTGGTTGAAATGTAAATTGGTGTAAAGATTTTGAGGGTCGGTAAGGCAATATCTGTTAAAATTAAATTCTCTGATCCAGAAAATTCTTCTAGAAATTTATTCTGTACAGATGCTGTTATGGATTGAATTGTGCCCCTCTAAAATACGTGTTGTAAATCCAAACCCCTATCTATACCTGTGGTTGGAGCCCTGGTGGTGTAGTGTTGAAGAGCTCAGCTGCTAAACAAAAGGTCAGCAGTTTGAATTGACCAGCCGCTCCTTGGAAACCCTATGGGGCAGTTCTCCTCTGACCTCTGGGGTTGCTATGAGTCGGAACTGACTTGACGCCACCCAACAACAACAACAACATGCCTGTGGTTATAGCCCCATTTGGTTATAATCCTGAGTTGTTTGTTATGTTAATGAGGTAGTATTAGTGTAGGGTGCTAGATATAAAAGAGCAAAATAAATAAGCAAGTATTGAGTATTGGGGAAGATACTTGCCACATGATGGCCACGGACCTTCTCCCAGAGTAGACAGAGAGAGAGAGAAAGAGAGAGAAAGCCTTCCCCTAAGCTAGCACCCTGAATTTGGACTTCTAGCTTCCTAAACTGTGAGAAAATAAATTTCTGTTCCTTAAAGCTTCCTACTTGCGGTATTTCTGTTATAGCAGCACTAGATAACTAAGGCAGGTACATTTTTTTTTAATTGTTGTAAAAATATAGATAACACAACATTTGCCAGCTCAACATTTTTGTAGATACATTCTTGTATTTACATAACGATTAATGTATAGTAATATCCATTGTAATATTGTATAGGAAGCTAAAGATTAGAGATAATGTATTACTTTTTTAATTAAATAAATTTTTTTGAATTTTGATGTAGTGAAAACTACTATACCATTAGGACAAACAAGAAATTGAGAAAAATACTTGCAACACATGATGGAAAACAGAGCTCTGACAATTCAGTGAGAAAAAATGCTCAGAAAAATTGCAAAGGATATGAGCAGACATTTCACAGAAAAGAAATCCAAATGATGAATAACTTTTGAAAATACTCTACTTCATTCATAGTTAAATGAAAATAAAAAGATCTATTTTCACCTGTCCAATTGCCAAAGTTAAGTAGTTTGATGAAAGAAATGGTTATTTTTATTTTTGTCATGTATAGCTGAGATTATTATTCTCTTGGAACAGAAGTACCTAAGTTCTTGTAGTGTTCTGTATCATATTGTTTCTTGCTTCCTTGCCTGAAATATCTCTCCCCTCAACTAACTCTACACATCCTTAAAATACAGCTGAGATTCTTCCAGGTATCCTCCTATTCCCCAGAGGCTGTGTGTGATAATTTTTACTTTGTGCTTCCTTTATAGCCTCTGCGTCTTTACTCGTATACTTCCCCGACTGGATAGAAATTTTTTGGAGGTTCTTTTATATGAAAGTACTTCATAAGTGTTTGTTGAATAAATGAAGAAGCAGAAAGATTGACTAGGGTATCTATTCATTCCTATTTTTGAGGCATAAGAAATAGCCAGCTTTATTTGTCTTCCTTTGTGTAGATCATTAGTTTTATGTGAGCCCATTAAATTCGTTATTTAAATTCTGGCCGTTTCAGAGATGATGAAATTGGGTATAAAATTTAGTTAAGAAACTTGCTTTGTTTTATCTTAAAGGGATTGCTCTAAACATTTTTTGCCTAAATACTGCTTCAGCAAATCAGAATATCACCTCACACATTTCTTTCTACTTAAACATACACATGCACTAGAACCAATAAGAGGAATGCCACTGTTTTAATAGGAGAAATTAATGAGAATGTAAAATCATGAATTCATGCCCTAAATAGTAGAGTGGTAGAGAATTAAGTATTGTAAAAAATATAGTGTTATACTTCTGTAATTAGTAAGAAATAGTCTTTGAGTCATTTGCAGAGGACTCTGATATAGCATGCATTAAGTGCTAGTATTTTCTAATAATAAAAAACAAAACCCATTGCCGTTGAGTCAATTCATAGGCAGGAGAATTCAGTTCCTCACACAGATCACATTGTTTCACATTGTTTAGAAGTATCTTGGGTCATTTAGGTAAAAATTGAGGAAATGACTTTAATTTTTACTCCAGAAAGTGAATGAGTATGGAAGCTTTTTTTTTTTTTTTGCCCGGGGTGCATTTGCAAATTGCAATAAAGTTGAGCTTTGTTTTATCAATATTTCAAGATTGGGGTGACCAGTATCAAAATCCATGGCCTCAGTAAGGTGGGAAATCTATCCAGGAGGCCCTTACTGTAGTATACTGGGATAATAAAAGGCTGGACCCTCAGGGTGATGATCATCCATCTCGGGGAATTATAGCCTAGATTTAAAATGCCTAAGTCTTCTGGCAGACCTCAAGCCTTAATTGTGTACTATGTTCATTGTGTTCATAATTCGAAGGTGCCTGCCAGAATCAAACACAAATCCTCTTAAAAGGAAGATGCTTTCATTCCGGTGTCTCACATTGTTCCTCTAAATAGTTGTTCAAGTAAAATGACCAGCATTCAGTAAAAGGTAAGCAGGCCACGCAAGAAAACAAGACAAGTGAGAACAGATAACAAAGAAACCCTTAGAAATCTCATGCATTGGAATGGTTAGACACATAAGAAAAATTGTAATTTCTATTTTTCAAGTAGTAAAGAATAAGTTTGAGTATAGTTCCAAACAGTAGGAAACTAAAAGGTGACTGTCATAATTTCCTTGTGCTACTATAACGGAAGTACCGTAAGTGGATGGCTTTAACAGACAAATTTATTTCTCACAGTTTAGGAGGCTAGAAGTCTGAATTCAGGGTGCCAACGCTACAGGAAGGTTTTCTCTCTCTGCTGGCTCTAGGGGAAGGTCCTTGTCTCTTTTCAGCTTCTGTTCCTC